GATCTGGATATGTTCTTTTTGACGATGAATGCAACACCATTCCTTTTCAATTTGTCATTCCCTGCATAGTAAACCATGTGGTTATCATATTCAAAATGGCCCATTCCTATTAATACTTAATGGCTTTTATGTGATCTATGTAGTTTACAAGTACACAGATCCCAGGGGGATCAACTTTCTTTTGCCTTTTCTAATTTAAGAAAAAAAAAACTCCTGACTCTTGGGCTACAAGGAATGAGAGAAAGTCATTCAGGCAGCCAACATTTCTTGATTACTTACTGTGATGGTTAATGTTATGTGTCAACTTGGATAGGCTGGATTGTTTTACTGGGTTTTGTGTTTTTTTTTTTTACTTTTTTCACTTTCTTTGTTAGGTGCCATGGAGTCCATATAGACTCAAAGCTTTCAAAAAAAAAAAAAAAATTTCAAGATTATATTATTTACATTTGGAATCCTTGTATGGCACTGCAGTATAACAACTGCTAGGTTGGTCGTCCAAACTCACCAGCTGCTCCTCAGAAACCCTTTATTGTTGTTAAGTGAGTCCAGTCATTATGAGTCATAACCAACTGAGGGCATTTAACATAACAATTTACACATTGATTTGTTTTTTAAAAGATTAAACTATTTGAGATCATTCAGTTGGCAGTTGTGGTTATTTATTCTAAATAATTAAATAACAACTATAAGCACTGGACTGTGAACCTCAAGGTCCATGTTTCAAGGCCACCAGCTGCTTCTTGGGAAAAAGATGAGGCTTTCTGCTCCTGCAGAGATTTAAAAGCCTCAGAAAACACCCTCTGCAAGCAAGCAGGGAGTCAAAACAGACTGGATGGCATTTAACAATAAGAATCTTAGGATTGTAACAATGAGGTTGTCCAGGAAATGTTGTTTTCAAGAAAATTTTTCTCAATTTTTTCCAAAATGACTAAGGTGTATAAATGCAACGTAATGAAAGGTTTCACCTGTTCCTAAATATTGACTGGAAACTCATAATCCCTAAGGTAGCTCTAAAAATCACAACACATTACCACAACGCACACTATTTTTATAATATGGATATTTTCAAAGGCATTCCAACTATCACTAGACCCTTGCATGAAACTTACCTTAAATCCTTATCCTACCATTTTTTGATACTCAGGGCTTCGGTTATATAGCTGACTGCTCATTTACTTTTATCATGCCAAAGTAATTTTGTGTATAATTTTAAATTAATATTGGTAAAATTATATGCTTTAAAAATATTCTCATAAAAACCTTAAATTAAAAAAAAATTCTCATGGGGTGCTTCAAAAAGTTCATGGAAAAATTATCATTAATTCCATTTGTCTATGAACTTTTTGAAACCTACATACTCTAGCCTAAATTTTGTATTTTTAATTTTTAAATTATTTACTTGAGTCATGAAGGTCTGTTTTTGCTGGAGTAGCAGCAAAATATAAAGTAATGGCCATGTGTGTTTGAATTCTAAAATGTATAATCCTCTGATTTCTTTTTTTCAGAGGCAGATAAAATACCTGTAATGCGTGGTCAGTGGTTTATTGATGGCACTTGGCAACCTCTAGAAGAAGAAGAAAGTAATTTAATTGAGCAAGAACATCTCAACCGTTTTAGGGGTCAACAGATGCAGGAAATTTTTGATATTGAAGTGTCAAAACCCATAGATGGGAAAGAGGGTAAGGCTAATCATTCATTCTTTAAACAAAGTAATATGATAAAGTTTAAAGTGTTTTCTAAGTTTGATATAGTAATTTAGGAGAGTTAAGATTTATATAATTCATTAAAATATATTTTAACATTTTAGAACTACATTTATAAACTTACAATTTCTGAACTATTTTCATTTATGTAATAATATATGTTTAGTGGCATGATAGTAGCATAATATGCTATAAATGCATGAATTGTTATATTGTAGTTTCAAACTAGACCTTTTTTAGTAGTCTCTGTAGTTATCAAAGCAAATTGAACTTATCAAAAGAGTCTCTTGCCACTATATCAGAACAGTAGTTAATATTTTAATGTTGGTTCTTTTGCTGAAACTAAAAAAATAAAAATAAAAAAACAAAACCCTTCAATTAGCTCTGTGTAAGTGTATCTTAACTGTCTCTGTATTGATAACCATTCAGTGTCTTAATAGAGCCAATATATTCCTTAAATTTCCTTATGCAGCATTTCAGTATTTTTTTCAGTAGTTAAAAACATGTTTTTTATAATAGCCAAGATAGCCATTTTTCTGAAGCTCATGTAAAATTCAAAATGTATGGTAAAGTTAAAAGCACTTCTGTTGTTCCATTTACTGCAGGCAGTGGGATCAACTATTCTGGTGAGTATTACAGTGTAGATAGATTAGAACTTACAGATTTTTTAAAATATATTTTCTAAAAATGTTTCTTCATCCATGATTGGCTTTATCTGGGAGGTTTCTTAGCAAGTCCTACTGAATTTAGTAAAATAAAATACAAATTTTTTATTCTCATAAAACAGATTTTAACAGAAAAACTTAACATTGATCAAGTTGAATGCAGACATCAAAACAACATAGTTTCACTTATACCAAATCAAAGTATCTTTCATGTCTGATTGATTGAAAATTTCTATAACTGAGGAAAGCTATAATTTCTGTGTAAGTTGACAGTCAGATTTAGCAAATTTATAGAATAATAGCTGTCCGTTACATGTCAGACAACTGTTGTTAAATGTCCAAGATTGGTAGTTCAAACCCACCAGCCTCTCCTTGGAAATCCTATACAGGGTCACTCTGAGTCAGAATCAACTCGATGTCACTTAACAACAACAACAATTATGTGATAGATACCAGACTCTGTTGTTGTTAAGTGTTGTCAAGTCAGTTCCCACTCATAATGACCATGTATAGGGTTTCCGAAACTATAAATCCTCACGGGAGCAGAAAACCTCATCTTTCTCCTACTGAGCAAGTGGTGGACTGGAAACACCAACCTTGTGGTTAGCTGTCCAGTGTTTATCCTACATAGCCACAGTGCTCAGGGCACCCAAGGAATTTTAAATATATTATCCAATTTTCCTAATCTGTAGAGTCAAACATTTTCCTATTCCCCTGTTAAAGTAAAGCTAACAGTTCTTACATATCAATCTATAAAGAACAGTCATACAAGAATAAGTCAAAAAGTATTGCTATACAGTTATTAAACAAAAGTATCAAAATGTAAAGCTATTATCAGCTTATTTTCTGTCTAGTCCTGTATACTTCTAAAGGTGATGTTTCTATATCTCTAACCCTTCCTTGAAGAATTTTGTTCTTTTCAATTTACACCATGTCAAAATGGCACTTTTGATCTTGAGGGACTCAAATAATCAACCTTATAAATGTTCTTTTGAGTTTGGGGAACAAAAAGAAGACCTAGGCTATAGGGTGGATGGGAATAGGTTTTTCCAGTGAAATTCTTGTAGGACAGTCCTTGCTACTACCCTCAAAGAATGAGCTGTTCCATTCTTGTGATAGAACAAATTTCCTCAGTACAACTTTCCTGGGCAATTTCTCATCAATGCAGTTTTTGGTTTTCTTAAAACTTCTTCCAAATACATCTCCATAATTGCCCTACATACTTCAAGAAAATCTAGAATTGACCTCTCTGCCTTGAATTTAACTGTCTAAGCAGAGCCTCTTAGATGCCACTGTTTTGATTGGACCTTTTTTAAAAGGCATTCTAACCAAGACTAAGACAAATATTATAACTTAGAGAACTTACCTACAGCAAGCTATTGATCACAGAGACATGTATTAATTGAAACCTTAGTAGCCATGCTTTTTCATTTACCCTCATATGTAACTGCTGTTAGGAGCTAAATCATCATTCCTGTAGATTGCAGTAGAAACATTACTTTATTTGTAAAGCAAAATTTTTATGGCTATGATCATTAGTTAGTAACTTAAATATTTTGTAACCTCTTATTACCATTCCAGAATAATCTCAAAAACCTATTTTTTAATCATAGATTAATTTCATTGCTATTTTTAAAAGACTGCACTCTGGATCCGTTTTGCTTTCTATTAATTCTCCTTAAGTCTTTGCCTCAAAAATGTCATTTCACCAAATTTGGTCACCCCTGTTCATTCCTATTAATGTATAAAGGAGTGGGGGGGGGAAGGATGAGTGTTAAAAATATAAGTAGATTGTTCATCTCTCCCATACTGTATTCAAAATACTTTTTTCTACTTGCTTATGCATCCTGTGGAGGTTTTGCATCAACTGTTTCATCTCTAGATCTCATCTCTTTGAAATTTTATTTTAATTACAAAAACAAAAGTAGAATTTCATGTATCCTTTTCACTTTTGCTTCCTACCTAAATGTTAGCTATAGCAGAATACTTACATATTCCTCATAGTACCCCATTTTATAATTCAGTAATTTAAAGAAGTCTAATGTAAGACTATGGTTTATATGCGTAAATCTATTCAGTATGTCTTTGTTTATGTGTGTGTCAGTTCTAGGTTATCAATCTGGGGTATTATAATAATTGAGTTTTTTGTTAAATTTATGGATATTAAAATTTTGACTAGTAATAGCAGAAAATTATCAAATTATTAAAGCATGTTTGTATTGTATTATTTGAAAACTATTCATTAAGTTACACTAGAAGTAGAAAAAAATTGAAATGCTGCAGCTTATAGGTAAAGCATCAGCCTGTTGTTACTAATAAAAAATACAGATTTAATGAAGTATATACAGTTAAAATTTAACATTTTGTTTGTTGTACAATATTAAAGATACATTTATGTGTCAAGATGTGACATTCAACTTTGAAAATTATGGAAAATTTTACAGTACTTTTGAAAGTTGTTGTTGTTGTTTTTAAGTGCCGTCGAGTCGATTCCGACCCATAGCGACCCTGTATATAGGGTTTCCAAGGAGCAGCTGGTGAGCTTGAACTACCGACCTTGCAATTCAAACAACTTTGCAGTCTGACGCATTAGCCCACAGCACCTATTGCTGTCTAACAAGTCGTTGTTATCAAGAAAACATCTCAAACTTAATGCATATGTAAAAATGTGTTACTACTAGGGTGCCAATTCATTTATGCACAGGCTTATTCCATACAAAACTTGTTTAAACATGTCTCTGCAGTAAGTGAATGGCTGCAGGCAAGTTCTTTCAGTATTAACACTTGTCTCAGTCATGTTGAGGTGTAACGAAAATACGATACTACAAAAGAGCTGTACATAGATCAGCTACCTCAAAGAGCTCGTCTTTCCATTAGTCTTTTAAGCAAGACCGAAGCTAAGATGATTTATGGAATGACTCGTAACCAGGAAAACAGTCTTGGATTTACCAACACATGATCCAGAGAGCAAGGTCCAATCACAGCAGTGGCTACTGAGAGGATCTCCTGGGTCAGTTCAGATCAGAGAGTTCAACTCATGGGTTATGGAGACTTCTTTGGAATCCCCAAGGGGGCAATTGTGATAGACTTTCTCAAAGGATACAGAATGCTCATAGAAGTTTTAAGAAAACTCTACTGGTGAGAAAAAGGCCAAGAAAGTTGCACTGAAGATTTTGTTTCCATCATGACCATGCACTTGCTCATTTGTCAAGGGCTGCAAGGCTATCCTATTAGAATTTCTCTGGGATTCCTTAGTCCCATCCACTCTACAGCCCAAATCTTCTTTTTGTTCCCCAAACTCAACATTTAAAAGGAATAATGATTTGAGTCCTTCAAGAATGTCAAAACTGCCATTTTGATGTAGTGTAGATTGAAGAGCACAGAATTCTTCAGGGAAGGATTAGAGGAAAACACCACCTTCAGAAGTGGATAGGCTTAGACAGAGGATGTGTGGGTAGACAATAGCTTCACAGTTTGACAGTTTTATTTGAATGTTTCTATGATTCTATAGCAATACGTTTTTACTTACCCTCTCTCTATAAAGATAAAAAAAGGAGCTCTGGTAGCATAGTGTTTATGAGTTGGGCTGCTAACTTTCAAGGTCAGCAGTTTGAAGCTACCAGTCGTTCCGCAAGCGAAAGATGAGTCTTTCTGCTCCCGTAAAGATTTACAGTCTCTGAAACCCTGTACGGGGTCACCATGAGTCGGAACCGACTCCATAGCACACCACTACCGCTACCACCATCACCACCACCACTGTATATAAAGATGAGAACTGTTAATCTTTTTATTATTTTGCTTATAATCTCCAAGCTTCAGAACTTTAGTATTTCATTAATTTGAAGGGAAAAATACCTTTTCCTTCTAAATTTTTGCACATATTTATGATAAAGAATTAACTTGTCAGGAAGTTTTTAATGTTTCCTTTTACAAAGAGTACTGTGCTGGGCAATTTTGTGAAAGAACAGACAAGAAAGAAGGACAGAGGAACAAAAAGCAGATAAAGAGAAAATAAATGGAGAAATGGTAGGCCTTAAATCCAAGCAGATCAATAATTGCAGTAAATATAATGTAAGTAAGCACTCCAGCTACATGGTTTAAGACCTAACTTCATGGAACTTGTATATGGTATCTATAAGTCACATTATAAATATAAAATCAGCTAGGTTGAAAGGAAAATAATGGATTTTTTACTGTTCACCATAATATGAGATGATATGACAACCCAAGCATTGGTTGATTATCTAAGGATTTATAAATAACAATTTGGCTTGTAAAGTGTATATTCCTATCAGTAATGCTGGATAAAGG